GAGAGAGAGAGAGAGAGAGAGAGAGAGAGAAAGATGGGTAGTTTGTTGTATTATTTCCCTCCAAATTTTTACATTAATTATTTCATTAGAGATAAGATGAAACATGTTCTTTTTTCTTTTTTCGGTCTTTCAATTAATTGTTCCTTTCTCATCACCGTATGGTGCAAATTAAATGTATTAGGAAAATTGTGAAAATGAAGGGACCATTTATTTTTAATTTTAAAATTTTAATTTTTTGATCTTTGAGTTATTTAATTTTAATGTAAAAAATTGAAATTTTATTTAAAATTATATAAATTTAGAAATTTTACGCCAAAAATTTGAATAATATATAACTTTCTTTATTGAACTAAAATAGTAATTCATATTGTGAAATAAAAATAAAAAATTAACCTAATATTTCCTATAATTCGTTTCTTTTCTATTTCTTCATCAATTTAATTAAATATGAATTAAAAAATTAAAATTAATTTAATTAAATATGAATTAATTTAATTAAATATGAATCAGTTTGATTAAATATAAATTTAAATTAAATGTGAAATTAATAGATTTAAAATTCAAATATGAATTTTATAAATAATTTTTGGATATTTATTTGCAGATAAAATTGATGATTCAGGTAGTATACCTGTAACTAGTGCTACACCTATATATTCATTAAATATAACTCGAACAACTACTCATTATTCATCCGTAAGTATTTTATTTGTGTATTTGTTCAAAAAAAAACTATATAAAAATCATTTTCATTCATTTCGAATTATATTTTAATTTAAATTTTTAAACTTTCATTTTTTATTTTTAAAATTAAATTACGAATATTTTATTAATTATAAAATATAATTAATAAATTATTTCATGTTATAGTTTGATATTCATGAATTGGAACTTGAACCAGATGAAGAAGATGTAGCAATTGAAGAGATTCCAGCAACTACAGTAACTAGTATAACAGTACAATCATGGACGACAACATCCAAAAGGCCATTACTACCATTAACACCATTAATAACCGAACAAACAGCGCCACCAACTGTATTCGATGAGAAACATAACATTCCATTTGATACTTTGCTCAAGCCTGGTGTTTTAGCTGGTAAGTATATCTTTTTTTTTTTTTTTTTTTTTTTATCAAAT